GTGAGGCGTTGCCCGGGCAACACGGTGAGGTGTTGCCCAAGCATATAAGCAGCAGAATAGCAAACACTAACCAGAGTCTACTTTCAAGTGTGGTCTAGAGCAGACACTTGCGAGATACTGTACCAACGCTCAGTGCGCTCAACTCACACCAACGTATCACCTGTGTACTTCTGTATATTCGACCAAATATATATATAGTATCTTAGTGTCTGTGTTTATTTGTCACCATACTTTACGTAACAATAGAACCGTTACATTGGTGACCCCAGAGAGTTTCGACGATACCCAGCCACGATGGACCACAACACTCACTGGACCTCTACTGCTACTGTTTGCTGTGATGGAACACTGCCAACACCCTCGCCACAGCTATGATTTTCATCGCGTCCATCTCTGCATTTTCATCTACTACGGCTTGCTGCTCCACGATCGTTACTCACTCATCTGACAGCCTCATCAAGGATTACATCATGTTGGATCGTACAGTGGTACCTCGGAATGCGATTGTCCCTGTATGCGAGATTTTCGGAAGGCGAGGTGTATTTACTCCAAAAATTTGTCTCGGAAGGCGATGGTTACTTCGGGAGTCGAGTTTGAATGCGAGTTTGTTGATACGCGTACAGCCGACCTAGCGCGTGGTCGTTCGGCGATCGTCGCCCCTCTGCCCCGCTGCCCCTCAGTTCACCATTGTCTCGCGCGCAGTGACTACCCCCACATCAATTCTTGTCGTGAATTTTCAGTGTTTTGTTGGATTTTTGGTGATTTGTCTATACAATTTGTTATTATATATCTCACCATGAGTCCCAAGAAAGCCAGTGGTAAGGATAAAGGCCAGAAAGCTCATGTGAGGATGACAATAGAGGAGAAACAAGAGATCATTCGAAAGCATGAGAACGGTACACGTGTTGTTGATCTTTGTAGGCAGTACAACAAAGTGACATCAACAATATGCACTATACTTAAGAAGAAAAATAAGATTATGAGTGCTAATGTGGCAAAAGGAGTAAGAACATTAACGACACAAAGACCACAAATACTTGAAGAAGTGGAAAAGTTGTTATTAATTTGGATACACGACAAGGAGTTGAGGGGTGATAGTGTTTCGGAGGCCATTATTTCTGAGAAAGCCAGGGTGTTGCACGAAGACCTTCTAAAGAAGACCCCTGCAACGAGTGATGCAGATAAGAAAGAGTTTAAGGCAAGCAGGGGCTGGTTTGAAAAATTTAGAAAGAGAAGTGGTATCCATAGTGTTACAAGGCATGGGGAGGCAGCCAGCTCAGACAAACCAGCCGCTGGACGATTTATTGACGAATTTAAAGAGTTTGCAGAGGCTGAGGGATACCTACCGCAACAAGTGTTTAATTGTGACGAAACAGGACTGTTTTGGAAAAGAATGCCTAAGAGGACATACATTACCAAGGAGGAAAAATCCTTGCCTGGACACAAGCCTATGAAAGATAGGTTTACGCTTGTGCTGTGTTCAAATGCGAGTGGCGATTTAAAAATTAAACCCTTGCTAGTGTATCATTCTGAAAATCCAAGGGTTTTCAAACAGTATAATGTGCAGAAAACCCGTTTGTCTGTGATGTGGAAGTCTAATAAAAAAGCATGGGTGACTAGGCTTATTTTTTCGGAGTGGGTGAATGAAGTGCTGTGCCCTGCCATAGAAAAATATCTGCAGGAGAAACAATTGCCACTCAGAGCCGTGCTTCTCCTTGACAATGCTCCTGCTCATCCTCCAGGCTTGGAAGATGATTTGATGCCTCAATACAATAAATTCCTCACAGTTAAATTCCTTCCTCCTAACACCACTCCTCTAATTCAGCCTATGGACCAGAAAATCATAGCGAATTTTAAGAAACTGTATGAAAGGGCACTTTTCCGGAAATGTTTTGAAGTGACTGAAGCCACAAACCTCACCCTCAAAGAGTTCTGGAGAGAGCATTTTAACATTTTTAGTGCTTTAAAACTCGTTGACAAAGCCTGGCAAGAAGTGACTCAAAGAACCCTGATCTCTGGCTGGAGAAAATTGTGGCCTGAAGGTGTGAGAGAACTAGACTTTGAGGGGTTTGAGCCTATAAATGATGCGCCTATTGTTGAGGAAATTGTTAGTCTAGGCCAGAAAATGGGCTTGGAATTGGATGGTGATGATGTGGAGGAGTTGGTGGAAGAACACAACGAAGAACTGACCACCGAAGAACTCCTAGCCCTTCAACAGGAACAGCAAGCCAACACAGCAGCGAATGATTCTGCAGTGGAGGAGGAGGTGGTGGCAACAGCACCAGCGAATGTCCCTTCTGCAGTAATTAAGAAGGTGTGTCAGATGTGGGAAGAGATTCAAACAACTATTGAACACACTCACCCAGACAAAACTGTAGTAGGCCGTTGTCTTAATCTTTTCAATGACAATGTGATGCCTTACTACAGAGACAGCTTGCGAAGAAGGGAAAAGCAAGCTTTCATGGACAAATATTTGGTGAAGAAATCGAGCAGTGAACCTCAACCAGGACCTAGTGGCACTCAGGTTAAACGTCCCAGGGAGAGCACACCAGAAAGGTCCTCACTGCCTGATGTGATTATGGAAGGGGACTCCCCTTCCAAACACTAACTCCTCTCCTCCTCCCCCCTCCTCACCATCTTCCATACGCCTACAGCACTCGACAGTAAGGTAAGTAATAACTGGAACATACTTTTGTAGGTTTATTTAGATGAATTAGGTAAATTAGGTATAAAAATTTAGTTTCATGTGGGGTTTTTGGGGTAGTCAGGAACGGATTAATTCATTTCCCTTTATTTCTTATGGGGAAATTAACTTCGGAATGCGAGTTTTCGGAAGGCGAGGCGTCTCCAGGAACGGATTAAACTCGCATTCTGTTCAGGTATGCCTGTACCGTAACAATAGAACCGTTACAACGTCATGCTTGTTAGTTCGTTTTCCTGGGGGAGTTCTGTCCACTCGTTTCTCGATTTTTGTTGTTTAACCAGAATTGGGGTTTGTTTTGTGGCGCTTACCTTTCTGGGCACCTGTCCCGGTCGATGGCAGATATAGAATGCTCCAAATCACATGTGCATTTCTATGGGCCATTGCTCCCCGTGCCTCTCTGAGGGGGCCAGGTTCTGGCTCGTGGTCCCCGGTAGGCCTAGAACTCCACCCACATCGACTGATGCAAAATAGTTAGGGTATCCATATCAGCCATGGATAGCTCCGGGGAGCCTCCGGGACTCACCCAGAAAATGGCGTTTCATTACATTCAACGCTGGTTTTTTGTGTCATCTGCAAAGGATGACACGAAGCTGTGACTTGTATTTTTGTCTATATCTGATATGAGAATAAGGAAAAGCAGCGGTGCAAGGACTGTACCCTGAGGTACAGAGCTTTTAACTGTGCTTGGACTCGATTTTATTTGATTGACTGTTACTCTTTGTGCTCTGTTCGACAGGAAATTGAGTATCCAACGTCCTACTTTACCAGTTATTCCCTTTGACCTCATTTTGTGTGCTATCACTCCATGATCACATTTGTCGAATGCATTTACAAAGTCTACATCTACATTTTGCTTTTCTTCTAACGCTTCTGTGATTTTGTCATAGTTTTTGAGTAACTGTGACAGACAGGATCTTCCCGCTCTAAATCCATGTTGTCCTGGGTTGTGCTGTTCCTCCTGCTTGAGCTTCTGAGTTTGACCAGTGGGTCCCCTTCATTCCTGCTTTTTCGGCTGCTCCTGCATTTTTTTTAGAAGCAGGGGGTGTGGAGGACGGCTCAGCCCCTGATCTTCGGGGTGAGGTTCCTGGGGCGGGGAAGGGGTTGACTTGGGGGCCTTGGGCCCCGTTGGACCCCACTTGGGTTTTTGTACCCTCGGAGTGTGGCTTGGTGTTACAGGATGTGGGGTTCTCTTCTGCTTCCTATTTGTACGTGGTGGATTTGGCGTTTACCCCTCCCCGGGTTCGTTCCATGACCTCAACGTTTCTTCAGTTCCCTCTTTCCGGAGGTTTCCGGCTTTCTGAGTTCAGTCCCAGTGGGTGCGGGACCACCTTGTGGCTTACCTCTTGCATGACCTGGATTTTGCTTTCGTGGTGGATCCACATTCCTTTGTGTATGGATCTTCGTGTCCTTACTGGGTTCGTTACGAAGTTCCGGAGTCGTCCTGGTTAACAGACTGCCCTTTTTTCTCTTCGGAGATAGGGCATACGTTCTGTCGGTCCCGCACGCTTGAGTGGCGGGAGGCTTTGACAGCGTTGCAGGTTTTACTGGGGGTCGCATTTGAGCATCTCGGTGAGTGCTTGTTCGCCCCTGCCCTTCAATGGGATGTTGGTATGATGTAGCTTCATGTGCAGGTTCCTTCCCTTTCGGCAGCATTGGTTGTGGAGGACCTGCATACGCGGGGCCTCCTGGCTGTGGCCCTGCGGTTCTTCTCCCTCCTTCAGCTGTCTTCGGACAGGCTTGTGGTGATGTGGAGGAGCGTGGAGCCGCCTCTGGGCCTGGAGCATTGCCTTTGGCGGCTCATGTGTTATCTGCGCTGTTGAAGCTGCTCGCACTGCTCCTGCTGGATGCAGTTTCGCGTTTTTTTTGCTTCACAACTCGTGTGTCGGCAGGTGGTGCTCGCTTCTTTCTTGGAATCTGCTTGGGCTCTCACTCTTAGATTGTCTTCGCCTTTTTGTCCATTGCTGCTTGCAGAGTCTACGGTAATGCAATATCTATAGGCGGCTTCAGCTAGTTGCCGTCCTATGTCTGAATTGTTGGTCCTCCGGGAGAACATGCAAGTTCTCCCCAGTTTCCCACATCGTGCATGTCATTATGGCATTAATGCCCAATTATACTTCAGGTGTTTGATAGTGTTTTGTAATACTGTACTGTATCTTGAAGTTGCATTTTATGGAGGTTCATTTGTATTGTACTAGTTATAATACTTATAATGCCTGTTTAAAATATTATCTGTGTGTCTTAAATTTTGACAATTGATGTCATGTTAATAAATGCCTCTCTCTCCTTTTCTTTGCAGCCTCATCCTCCAGTGAAGCCAATGGCATATGCCAATTCCATCTTAAGTTTGTTCAGTTAAGAGAAATTTGAAGGGCTCGAGTCTGTGCAGTCACGCGCTTCTGGGATGAGAGACAAGAGTCCCAACCTGTACGATACAGCCTGCAAAATTCACTTTTCTGTGTGGATTCAATCCACACCGAGGATTCACATACATGATTATAATAGTGATTGCTCTCAAATCTGTGCCTTCTAGATGAACCTGAGTGTAACGATGACATCTGGAACCCCATCTGTGGTGTCAGATGACATGATCGTGAGTGTGACGGTGCCATCTGGAACCCCTTCTTTGGTGGCAAATGAGATGATCGCGAATGGAAGGATGGATATTAAGGGTTTGGTATTTGGAACTCACAGACCAGCTGAGCTCTGTGACTGGAAATGCGTGCTCTACCAGCAATCACAATCATCACCAAGTGTTGAGGCTTTAGAATGCCTCATCTTTCCTTGGGAACCTTCTGTGCCATTATTTTTGCACGCCATTTCCATTTACGTAGTATGTTTTAGGAGCCGACTCTCAGCGTCCCTTGCTTATACTGTAATGCCTGCCATCCATGCAAGTTGTGTTCTCACTATCATGTTTTATTGCCTAAGACTGTTTTGTTACTGTTAATTTACTCCTAATCATTTTAGATTGCTAATTATCTTCATCTTGAGTCAGTGCATTTTTGTAAATCTGTATACTTAATATATTCTTTTTGTCAAACCACATTAGTGTTAGGAATTTATTTTGTCAGTAAAGATACATTGTTAATGAGTTCAATCAAACCACACTAACTTTCACAGTAATAATTGACATTGCATTTGCCGCCCTACATTGTTGTCTTTCATCGTCATCATTATAGGCCAAAACTAAAAGTAAGAGTTTATACTTTCCCACCATATCAAAACATTTTTATTTTTACCCGAAGTTGTGTTCAAATTTTAACTATACTGTATAAGCTTGATTGTAGCATATAATATCCATATCATGTCTGGGGAGGGGGGGGGGGGGGAATTTTTTTTTCGTGTTCTCTAAAAGATAGTCCATGACCTATCTACGCACTTTCATTTGCTGTGCAGTAGTAAATACTAAATTATTAATAAATATTTTTAGCCTTAACATGATAAACTGAAAGCAATATTTGGGGGACATTTGATTGGAACATAAACGTAAGAGTATTTTTATTTTATACTTTTTTGTTCACTCTGTAACGATTACCGGCTTATGAGAATTTTACCGGCTTATGAGAAGCACTTGCTCGAACATGTCCAGTTGTTTTAGAGTGTCGAAAGTTGAGCCAAAAGGGCATGGATCTGGTGCATGTCTCGCTTACACGGTGCTGCAACCATGTCTCGCTTACACGGTGCTGCAACCATGTCTCGCTTACACGGTGCTGCAACCATGTCTCGCTTACATGGTGCTGCAACCATGTCTCGTTTACATGGTGCTGCAACCATGTCTCGCTTACATGGTGCTGCAACCATGTCTCGTTTACATGGTGCTGCAACCATGTCTCGCTTACATGGTGCTGCAACCATGTCTCGCTTACACGGTGCTGCAACCATGTCTTGCTTACACGGTGCTGCAACCATGTCTCGCTTACACGGTGCTGCAACCATGTCTCGCTTACATGGTGCTGCAACCATGTCTCGCTTACATGGTGCTGCAACCATGTCTCGTTTACATGGTGCTGCAACCATGTCTCGCTTACATGGTGCTGCAACCATGTCTCGTTTACATGGTGCTGCAACCATGTCTCGCTTACATGGTGCTGCAACCATGTCTCGTTTACATGGTGCTGCAACCATGTCTCACTTACATGGTGCTGCAACCATGTCTCGTTTACATGGTGCTGCAACCATGTCTCACTTACATGGTGCTGCAACCATGTCTCACTTACATGGTGCTGCAACCATGTCTCGCTTACATGGTGCTGCAACCATGTCTCGCTTACATGGTGCTGCAACCATGTCTCGCTTACATGGTGCTGCAACCATGTCTCACTTACATGGTGCTGCAACCATGTCTCGCTTACATGGTGCTGCAACCATGTCTCGCTTACATGGTGCTGCAACCATGTCTCACTTACATGGTGCTGCAACCATGTCTCGCTTACATGGTGCTGCAACCATGTCTCACTTACATGGTGCTGCAACCATGTCTCGCTTACATGGTGCTGCAACCATGTCTCGCTTACATGGTGCTGCAACCATGTCTCGCTTACATGGTGCTGCAACCATGTCTCGCTTACATGGTGCTGCAACCATGTCTTGCCTTCCTGCCGCTGCCATGCTCTGGTCTGTGTGCCGTGTGCTTCTCTGTCCCGGCTCATAGACTCGCTGTGTGTTATGTGCCAACTCTCACATCCCAGGTGTTTAGGTCCATCTCTTCTTGTATGAAGCTTTGTATCCCAGCTCCTTGATTGTCTGTGCTTTGTATCCCAGCTCCTTGATTGTCTGTGCTTTGTATCCCAGCTCTTTTACTGCCTGTGCTTTGTATCCCAGCTCCTTGATTGCCTGTGCTTTGTATCCCAGCTCTTTTACTGCCTGTGCTTTGTATCCCAGCTCCTTGATTGTCTGTGCTTTGTATCCCAGCTCCTTGATTGTCTGTGCTTTGTATCCCAGCTCCTTGATTGTCTGTGCTTTGTATCCCAGCTCCTTGATTGTCTGTGCTTTGTATCCCAGCTCCTTGATTGTCTGTGCTTTATATCCCAGCTCCTTGATTGTCTGTGCTTTGTATCCCAGCTCTTTTACTGCCTGTGCTTTGTATCCCAGCTCCTTGATTGTCTGTGCTTTGTATCCCTGCTCTTTTACTGCCTGTGCTTTGTATCCCAGCTCCTTGATTGCCTGTGCTTTGTATCCCAGCTCCTTGATTGCCTGTGCTTTGTATCCCAGCTCTTTTACTGCCTGTGCTTTGTATCCCAGCTCCTTGATTGTCTGTGCTTTGTATCCCAGCTCCTTGATTGCCTGTGCTTTGTATCCCAGCTCCTTGATTGTCTGTGCTTTGTATCCCAGCTCCTTGATTGTCTGTGCTTTGTATCCCAGCTCCTTGATTGTCTGTGCTTTGTATCCCAGCTCCTTGATTGCCTGTGCTTTGTATCCCAGCTCCTTGATTGTCTGTGCTTTGTATCCCAGCTCTTTTACTGCCTGTGCTTTGTATCCCAGCTCCTTGATTGTCTGTGCTTTGTATCCCAGCTCCTTGATTGTCTGTGCTTTGTATCCCAGCTCCTTGATTGTCTGTGCTTTGTATCCCAGCTCTTTTACTGCCTGTGCTTTGTATCCCAGCTCCTTGATTGCCTGTGCTTTGTATCCCAGCTCCTTGATTGTCTGTGCTTTGTATCCCAGCTCCTTGATTGTCTGTGCTTTGTATCCCAGCTCTTTTACTGCCTGTGCTTTGTATCCCAGCTCCTTGATTGTCTGTGCTTTGTATCCCAGCTCCTTGATTGTCTGTGCTTTGTATCCCAGCTCCTTGATTGTCTGTGCTTTGTATCCCAGCTCTTTTACTGCCTGTGCTTTGTATCCCAGCTCCTTGATTGCCTGTGCTTTGTATCCCAGCTCCTTGATTGTCTGTGCTTTGTATCCCAGCTCCTTGATTGTCTGTGCTTTGTATCCCAGCTCTTTTACTGCCTGTGCTTTGTATCCCAGCTCCTTGATTGTCTGTGCTTTGTATCCCAGCTCCTTGATTGCCTGTGCTTTATATCCCAGCTCCTTGATTGCCTGTGCTTTATATCCCAGCTCCTTGATTGCCTGTGCTTTATATCCCAGCTCCTTGATTGTTTGTGCTTTGTATCCCAGCTCCTTGATTGCCTGTGCTTTATATCCCAGCTCCTTGATTGCCTGTGCTTTATATCCCAGCTCCTTGATTGTCTGTGCTTTGTATCCCAGCTCCTTGGCTGCCTGTGCTTTGTATCCCAGCTCCTTGATTGCCTGTGCTTTGTATCCCAGCTCCTTGATTGCCTGTGCTTTATATCCCAGCTCCTTGATTGCCTGTGCTTTGTATCCCAGCTCCTTGGCTGCCTATGCTTTATATCCCAGCTCCTTGGCTGCCTGTGCTTTATATCCCAGCTCCTTGGCTGCCTGTGCTTTGTATCCCAGCTCCTTGGCTGCCTGTGCTTTATATCCCAGCTCCTTGGCTGCCTGTGCTTTATATCCCAGCTCCTTGGCTGCCTGTGCTTTGTATCCCAGCTCCTTGATTGCCTGTGCTTTATATCCCAGCTCCTTGGCTGCCTGTGCTTTGTATCCCAGCTCCTTGATTGCCTGTGCCTTGTATCCCAGCTCCTTGGCTGCCTGTGCTTTATATCCCAGCTCCTTGGCTGCCTGTGCTTTATATCCCAGCTCCTTGGCTGCCTGTGCTTTATATCCCAGCTCCTTGGCTGCCTGTGCTTTATATCCCAGCTCCTTGGCTGCCTGTGCTTTATATCCCAGCCTAAAAAAAATATCCCCCCTCCCATTTCTCTCCAGTGCTTTTTATGTCTGTAATTATTGGACTATGCTCTGTACCTCAGCTCGTAGACTGCAGTATTTACGTCCCAGCTTAAAGAGAAAGGTCACCAGGGGACTTTTATGTCCTAGCTTTGTCTCGACAGTTACTATTTCTCTACTTTGGTTAGGGAGCCGGTCGGCCGAGCGGACAGCACGCGGGACTTGTGATCCTGTGGTCTTGGGTTCGATCCCAGGCGCCGGCGAGAAACAATGGGCAGAGTTTCTTTCACCCTATGCCCCTGTTACCTAGCAGTAAAATAGGTACCTGGGTGTTAGTCAGCTGTCACGGGCTGCTTCCTGGGGGTGGAGGCCTGGTCGAGGACCGGGCCGCGGGGACACTAAAAAGCCCCGAAATCATCTCAAGATAACCTCAAGATAACCCTTTAAGGATTCCATAACATTATCCTGTTTGCTCAGAACTTGGAACCTGGTGTGTCCATTGACCTTGATGCTTTACATTATAGTCCTCTGACCCCAGTACTTTTATGTCCTTGTTCTTGGTCTCCAGTGCTGTATGTCCTTGTTCTTAGTCTCCAGTACTTTTATGTCCTTGTTCTTGGTCTCCAGTACTTTTATGTCCTTGTTCTTGGTCTCCAGTACTTTTATGTCCTTGTTCTTGGTCTCCAGTACTTTTATGTCCTTGTTCTTGGTCTCCAGTACTTTTATGTCCTTGTTCTTGGTCTCCAGTACTTTTATGTCCTTGTTCTTGGTCTCCAGTACTTTTATGTCCTTGTTCTTGGTCTCCAGTACTTTTATGTCCTTGTTCTTGGTCTCCAGTACTTTTATGTCCTTGTTCTTGGTCTCCAGTACTTTTATGTCCTTGTTCTTGGTCTCCAGTGCTGTATGTCCTTGTTCTTGGTCTCCAGTGCTGAATGTCCTTGTTCTTGGTCTCCAGTGCTGTATGTCCTTGTTCTTAGTCTCCAGTGCTGTATGTCCTTGTTCTTAGTCTCCAGTGCTGTATGTCCTTGTTCTTAGTCTCCAGTGCTGTATGTCCTTGTTCTTGGTCTCCAGTGCTGTATGTCCTTGTTCTTGGTCTCCAGTGCTGTATGTCCTTGTTCTTGGTCTCCAGTGCTGTATGTCCTTGTTCTTGGTCTCCAGTGCTGTATGTCCTTGTTCTTGGTCTCCAGTGCTGTATGTCCTTGTTCTTGGTCTCCAGTGCTGTATGTCCTTGTTCTTGGTCTCCAGTGCTGTATGTCCTTGTTCTTGGTCTCCAGTGCTGTATGTCCTTGTTCTTAGTCTCCAGTGCTGTATGTCCTTGTTCTTGGTCTCCAGTGCTGTATGTCCTTGTTCTTAGTCTCCAGTGCTGTATGTCCTTGTTCTTGAACCCTAATGCTATAAGTCCTTGTTCTTGGAATCTAGTGCATTATGGGTGTTCCTGCCCTGGGACCTTTATCTCTGTCTTAGTATTTTATCTTCACATCTCTCTAATTGCCTTTTAGCATTGGTTTCTACGCATGATATCTTAAGCGGAGATGCATTTCCCCGTATCCTAAACTGTATGCTTCATCGTTTGTTCTCGAGGTTCTTAAAGCATCATTACAGGTGGGGTATTGTCATCTTTGCTACACTGGGCACCGTAGCTGATATGTGCTGTCTGCTCACCTCTCGACAGTGAGTCGAACACCGTTATTTCATCATTGGGGAGATGATAGAGAAGATGACACCTTTTTTTTTTTTTTATTGCACGTGATTTTTGCCACCAGCTCAATCTGCTTGTGTGTCACGAGGGAATTAGTAACACAGCCTAGTCTCTTCCTCTTTATTCATGGGATACAGAGCTGTCTTATTTCCGATTGATGGGCAGCTCAGTCACCTTGATAGGATATTCCTGGATTCAAATGTGATTGCTCTCTGACATGGGTACATAACACAAAGTTCTGTTTAGAAGAAACTTGCCAGTTAAATGCAGAGCATAAAACATACACACACTTTATATTGATTGTAAAGGTGACATCAATAAAATGAGCACAGTAATAAACTCTTGAAAATGAGTGACAAGTTCTTGAGTTGGTGGGGGGGGGTAACATTTTACTCGCTCGAATTATTGCCGATTCAAATTCATGCCTCAGAAGTATGTGACTATTATCTCAACAGCTAGACAACGGATGCTCATAATAAGGAAGGATGTCGGAAGTACTATCTAACTTTAGATCCTTAATGTGAGCTTCCTGGTTGGTACAATGCCATTTTTGTACTGTTGAGGCCTGAGTTCGAATCCTCGATGATCCAAGTGACTGAAATGTTATTACCCATGCTATCATGGATTGCAATTTGTCAGTGGAACCAAATACTAATATAGGTTTTGTAATGTACTAGCAAGACGCATTTGATTCCTTGAAAGGTAAGGCCTGATACTCGCCTAGGGATCAACCTTTACTAATAGCTATGTTCTAGCTGTAAGTACACGTGTGGCGGATAATAAGTGTCGGTGGAAATACACTAGTGTAAGAAAGGTAGTTTGGCAGGTGATGAACGTTAAGTAAATACGGTTTGAGTTTAAGCATGACTGATGCATCAATAATCAGTCTTTAACAAGGAAATTTTATCATTGTTGCATTCAATATGTTTTTATGAGGAGTTGCAGAAGGGTACTTATAACGTTATTGGCGAGTGTGGTAAACGTAAGAATGCAACACCATGTTCTTTTACAAGGGTGTACCAAAGAACACAAGACTAGTGTCACAATGGAATTTGCAGAGTAAAATGCATTGTCTGATTGTGCACTGAATGGGAAATGGGTATTCAAGTATAGGAATTGTTCTATAAACAATTAACATTCCAAGATATCGTAGGTATGAGTTGGTTAGGAAGTGGATGGGTTATTATGTCAAACGAGTCAAGTAGTACTGTATC